AGGACCTTTTCTAAGGCTTGAAAGGCTCAGAAAAGGTCCTGTAAGCTGGCGATTTCGCCCCCGCTAGCCCCGTGGGGGGTGGAGGGAGCTTCCGAAGGGTCCTGGAAGGCATTCTCAGACCCTTTCGAGGCTTCCCCCACCTCCACCCTCGCAGGCCCAGCGGGCCAAAATTGCCAGAATATTTTTCCTGTTTTCCTCCCCTAAAAATGAGATGCGTCTTATGGAGCAAAAAATACGGTATTTTTTTGCTATTTCTCTCTTTTTTCCATTAGGATTAATAATAAAGTACGGCAAGTCTCCTGATTGGAGGCAGCTAAGCCTCATGATTGAAGGAAGCCTGTTTACAGAGGCAAGGCATGGGCCTTTTTGTTCTCTCCATGCACTCAGCTTGCTTCCGTGTATAAGATGTCCCTCCATTTTTAGTGTAATGGTTTTAGGAAAAAGGTAGCGTCTTATACATTGAAAAACACAGTACAGTGGTGTCTCGCTAGACGATGATAATCCGTTCCACTGAAATCGCTGTTTAGCGAAATCATTGTCTAGTGAAAAGCATTTCCCCATTGGAATGCATTGAAACCTGTTTAATGTATTCCAATGGGGAAGAATCGTCGTTGTCTAGCGAAGATCGGCCATAGGAAAGCCACTTTGCGAACCGCCAATCAGCTGTTTAAATCACTGTCTTGCAAAGCTTAGGTCCCAAAAACACCTGTTTTGCAAGCGCAGAGGGAGCTGTCAAAATTGTCATCTAGCGAAAATCAGTTTTCGAAGCAGGGACCAAACACTGTCCAGCAAAATTCCCCCATAGGAATCACTGTTTTGCGAATCACTATAGCAATCGCAAATAGTCAATGTCTAGCGAAAAAACTGTCATGCAGGGTAAGTGACTAGCGAGGTACCACTGTAGCTACATTCTAAGTGCTAGCATATGCAGGTTTCTCTGTATGTGCCTTACAAACAAGATGAAGAACTAATTATATTGAATTTTGGACCATGTTTTATGCATAGGAACAAGCATATGTTGGCAAGCCATTATTTGTAGTTATCATTCACCCTTCCCCTCTCCTGACTCCTTTAATGTAATCAGGGGATTTTGGAGCAGGGATTCACCTTCTACTGTAGTACCTTGGATTATGAATTTAATGCATTCTATGGGACATTACATAAAGCAAAAAATTCATAAACCGAAACGCAGATTACCATAGGAGTGGGGCAGCACTATAAACCTCAAGGCACAATGTATCCTGGGGAAATTTCATTTGCAAACCCAAAAAAGGGGGAAAAACATAAACCAAGGCATTATTTTCAATGGATTTCCATTCATAAACCAAAAATTACATTAATTGAGGTGTTCATAAACCAAGGTACTACTGTAATGCGTTTCCAAGTTTGATTCAAGATGCTGTTTTTGAGGACAAAGGCCTAAACGTCAGAATATCAGAAACAGTGCCTTGTCTTGTAGGCATGTGCTCAGAATTGGGAGAGAAATGCCAAAGGACTTGTATGTGTAGACCATCATGCTGAAAAACTAGTTGAGTATAGGTAGCAGCACTTTGAATATGGAATTCCTTCATTGTGGAACTCAGGTTGGCTTCAGCTCTACTGAGTTTCCAGTGAACAGCCCAAATTCTGTTATTCCGCTGGGCCTTTGCTATTTAAGAATAATGTTAATACTGCTATACAAATTAGCTTTTCATTCAGGTTTCAAAGGCCAATTATATTTTACTTCACATCTCCAGATCTTTGAAAGAAATTGATAAACATTCACGGTGTCAGTCAGAACTTTGAAGAAGACACCTACAGTACAGTGGTGCCTTGCTTAACGAGTGCACCGTTTAACGACGAATCTGCATAGCGATGCGTTTTTTTGCAACCACTAATGCGATCGCATTGCGATGTTTTAATAGGCAAAACATTGCATTGCAATGTTTTGGGAACAGCTGATCGGCGGTTCCAAAATGGCTGCTGGATGCAGAAAATGGCCGCCCGCAGCATTTTCGCGCCCTGCCCTCGCTAACTGGGCGGCGAAAATGGCGGCCGGATGGAGGATTCCCCGCATAGCGGTGAGTTTTTCCCCAATAGGAACGCATTAAACGGAATTTAATGTGTTCCTATGGGTTCCCCCCCCCCGCATAGCAACGAATCCGGATAGAGACGTTAATCCTGGAACGGATTAACGTCGCTATGCGGGGCACCACTGTATTTCTGCTTCCTTCAGAATCCAGTACAATATTAAGAATTTCCCTTGTGTCCTTGCAAGTCAGAGAACTGAGGTTAGGGACTAAGGTATAGCTGCACATAGGCTGAATTATACCATCCATCCATTCCGGTTCAAAGGTAAAGGCATCTTTTTGCTTCATTTACAGCAAGGCAAATCTTCACCCTCCACATGTAGTCATAACCTGTTAGTATACTAGGTAGAGTTGGTGAAAGTTACAGACCAAAATACCTGCAAGCCTGAATATTACCCACCTCTGATTTGAATTCCAGTGTGGTGATTTCTTTCCTTTTCCTGTTTCTTACTGCCTCACTGTTCAGTGAGCACCTATACATATCAAGATGCGGCATGGGAGACGTTGGTTGCAAAGTCAGCTGATTCTTTAGTTTAGGGAGATATACCATTTGCAGGCTGGCTCACTTTCATATATGCTTCCTATCCTAATATCATATGTTTCCCTTTCACCCTCCTCCAGCAATTGCTAAATCTTTGCTAAACTTGCACACCACGTAACCAGCTGGGGCAGAGAGGGTTCCAGCAGATGTCAGGAGTTCTCCACATGTGCATGACACCCAGCTCTATAAGTGAGCACAACTTTGATAGCAAGTACACTATCACAGATCAATAGGCAAGTCTGGCAACTGGGCAGACCACTTACAACTCACCAGGACTTCCACAACCAGATGGAAGGCTTTCCAGTGACTTTTGCAGGCATGCAGTGTAGGACAGGGTATCACCCCAGCTCCTTTCTATGACAGGTACCACGTCCTCAAAGCCCTTTACACTACTCTAGATACACAGCTACTGAAACGTCCACCACCCATTTTCCACACCCATCAACTTTCTTCTGGCTCCATAACTTTCATTCAGAAACCAACACTTATGCTGGCACAGGAAGCAAGATCTTGCACTCTACATACCGATAGAGTTAGAGTTGTGCAGATTTGAGGGCAGAATCAGTTGTGCATGAAAATGCAGTTCTTTGTTCCACTGGGTTCTTTCCATGAAGGAGAGACAGCACCCACCCACCCAATACCTCAAACTTTAACTTTCTTTTCAGAAGCAATCCTAAGGGAAAGCCTGAACAGGCTCATTTAGTAACCTTAACTTGGATATGGAGATTCAGGAGGCTATGAAGAAAAAAACCCTGCAAGAGGGTGTAAGCATTTTAGCATTCTTTAAGTAATTAAGAAACTCGCTAAAGCTTCACCAGCATTCGGTTATTGTTGTTGTTTAGTCGTTAAGTCGTGTCCGACTCTTCGTGACCCCATGGATCAGAGCATGCCAGGCCCTCCTGTCTTCCACTGCCTCCCGGAGTTGGGTTAAATTCACGTAGGTTGCTTCGCAGACACTGTCTAACAATCTTGTCCTCTGTCGTCC